CCTCCCTGTGTGCCAGCACCTTCCTGCCTGCTCTGGGAGTGCACGGAGCTCGCCGCTGGCGTCAGCTCAGTCGCCAAAACCAGGTTGTGTTAGTGGAAAGGCTCATCGCAGCTCTGCTTCTTGTTGTATGTGCAGTGGAAAAAAAACCAAAATGTGCTCGTTTGTGGGAGGAAGCTATGGGGCAGTCAGATCAAGTTGTAACAGTATGTGGGCAGCCACGTTTGTATTGTAAGGATATTTTTTTCTTTTTTCTTCCCCCTCTACCCTGTTCCCAGCGCACGTGTGTGTATGGCTTTGTGTGAGGAAGCCGGCTCGGGGGGGCGGGGGGGGCGGGCTCTTCTGTTCCAGCTCCCCAGATCCAACTGCCCGTGGTTGAGTGTCAGCACTCTGAGGCGCTGGTGTTGCTCCGCAGACTTCTGCGTGTGTTGTGTTGCTTGCACTGGGTTCTGCAGGGTGGAAAGTGCCACTGGTAGAAATCCAAGGGTGGGAAAGGTTAGTATGCCAAAAGGCTGCGGTAAATAGAAACCATTCTACAGACTTTGCATCTCATCCAAAGTTTTCAAGAAACCAATTCTGAGTTGAACTTCCGTTTGATTTTGCTAACCATTTAACTTCTGGAGACTGTCCTTTGTACATCTGAAGGAATATTTATTGCATGCAATTGGCAGTGCAGTTTGGGTTCCTTATAGAGGTTTTGTATAGGAAACTGTTAAATAAAAGCTGTTTGCTTGCCTCTCTAGTATTGTGTTGGAGCTGGTGACAGATGCCTCAAAGCTTTCTGCGGCAGAGCAAGCATTGTGGGGGCACGGGGGCTCTTGTTGTTTTTGCTGTTTGTTTAAATGAATTCCCTTATCTGGGAGAAGTAGTGTTTATGCCAGTTAATGAATGAGAACCTATGGCATCCGTAACACAACGTTGCCTGTCAGCACGTGTGGGTACAACGGCGGGGTGGGGGTGGGAAAGGTATGCTGGCAGGGCAGGTTGCTGATGCCGGTGGGAAGCACAGAGGGAAGGGCACCGGGAGCAGAGACCTTGGGTCTGTGCCTGCTCTCTGCAGAGGCCTGTCGGGAGATGGAAAGGGCAGAGATGGAGCACAGGTGTAATATTGGTCACTGTCTCACCTCCCGGCTCTGGCCCAGGACAGCTTTTATTCAGTACGTGACCGTGCTGTGTCTGAGGGTTGCTTTTTAACAAAAAAGTTATCAGCAGAATAGACGTTTCAAACTGCTGCAGAACAGCACAACACTATCTACGCAACTCACAATTGCGGTGAGTGTTGAGTTTATTCCTCCTGATTATTTTCATAAATTTGTGCAGCATTGGTGTACAAACAGCTCGGGAATCTACTACACAGCTGGGGGGGAATTTGTGCTTTTTTTCTTCATATATGCAATGATAGGGTGATTCACAAGGAAACTTTAGATTTTGCTTGATGCAGTAAGGGTTTTTTAACCCATAACTGAAGAAGTAAAGGTCAACCAAATAAAAGACATAGCTGCTTTATTTCTTCAGTTTTAAAAACTTGGGGTTTTTTCCAGAAGTGTTGATAAAATGCTTGTTAAATAAGGCCCAGTAGAACATACAGTCTGAAGATCATGACTTCCTTGTTTTAAAAACTAAGTAACTTCCAAAGCTGTCTGGGAAACTGCATTTTTAAAGTAAACTGGTGTAGGCAATGATCACTGAGACTTCTAGTCAGTGGTTTGTGTACCTTGTGCTGCTCTTCCAGTCCTCAATGAAAACGTAATCGTTTAACTCTAGTACCTGGTCTTTGGAATGAAATCCCAGAAAAGGCTTGGGGATGCCAGGGGACAAGACGCGAGGGTCGGTGTCGGCCGTGACCTTGGGTGGAGGGTGCCTTGCTGCGCAGCGAGGGTGCTCGGCGCTTGGCCAGGAGCCTGTTGGACTGCGCTGGCCATCGAACGCCAGCTGCTGAGCTGCGGGGCTTGGTTAGTTTGTTCCTAGTTAATGAACTTCTGAAGAGTTTATTTGAACCGGGATAAGTTGGGATTTGTGCCTCAGCCATCACCTTGCCTTACTGATGAACATGGTAAAACACCGCAAGGATGCACTTCTATTTGTTTTCTTGAAAGCCAGTGTCTCTGCAGACATGTAAGCCGGCTTGTTGGAAGATGCTAATTTGCTCTTTTTAAACTCCCTTGTCTTCTAGAGCATATTGTGTTCCCAGAACAGGCACTTACAAGGGTTTCATACTCTGGTTTGAAGTGCCTCCTTTGCTGATGGGTAAGGTGTGTGAAACTCCTTCAAGACTGCCACCAGTTTGCAATCTGAGAGACGAGTTGTTATTCTAGCGACTCAAAGAAACCTTATGGTAGGGGTGTGTAGTACACAGAGTGCTTGGATGATCTGTATTTATTCACCATCGCCATATGCTCCGTGCGGCTATAGGCGGTATGTGAACTGGTGTGGCCTGTCTTTAGTACTTCTATTAGTTTGAAAGTTTAAGGTTTTTAATTAATTAGTACTTTAAAGTTGGTCTTTTTTGAGGCCAAAGTATGAAGTAGATGGAAAATGTGATACTCTACATACGCACCAAGAAAGGGCGTTATGGTGGGAATCTCCAAGAGCGTACGTGCTGCTCCTCAGAAAAACTTGTGGGAAGCTGACCATCTTGGCCTTCTGTACAACAACTTGTGTATAGTCCATACATACAGCATCTGCGCACATACATACAGATGTTTGCGTACAATAATTGTGTGGGTTCCCCCCTCACCGAGTCTGCTCTATGTAAAGTGCACAGGGAATGAAGTTAAGATCTAGACCATCTTCGGAAAGAAGTTCTCTTGTTTGGCTTGTGTCTTAAAACATATTTGGTGTATTTTTTTAAGAAAGAAAACCAATTGTGCTAGCTGGAAGAACTAGCAGTCCGCTGGCGTTCCGGTGTTGGCACGGGACTGCACACATTGCCTGCCTCTGCTTTAAGCTGTAACAGCGCTAAATCTCTTGCACGGAGGCTGCTGGGTGAATCTGGGGCTTGGACAAAGTTGTCTTCGTAACTGGAGGGCTTGGAGCGCTGACGGGAGTCCGTCAGACGTGATGTATGTTGTTTCTAATGCGATGCGAGCTGCCGCGGTCCTGGGAAGATGGATTAGGTTGTGCCTGCTTAAGATTCAGGTCAGTTCCATGCAAATTTTTCATTCAGTATCCGAACACTGGGTCTTTTAAGAATTTGCCTGACCCACATAGGGCTGGTTTTAAACCCTCTGTAGCTGGATGACAAAAGTTCGGTGCTTACTTCAAGCCATTTAATCTCGTCCACTGTTTCTGCTTCTCGCTGAAGGACCTGCTTCCCGACTAGCAGCGTGTCGCTTCTCCTCCGCTCCTGGGCAGGCCAAGCTTTGCTGGTATGCCGTGAATACTGGGGCCGTAATTCCTGGCTGGAAAGCAGGATGGAGTGCTGTTAGGCAAATGTGGCTGTAGTAGTTTGGTGGGACGGGAGGGTAGCTAGAGGTGATCTTGTCAAGCAGATCAGCTGTTCTGTTGTGAGAAGGATTTGGTGGCCATCTGGCTGACGACAGGGCGTTCTCGTTCTGCCTTTGCCACGGTATCCTAAGCATTTGTCACATGGACGAGTACTTAGACTTTAAATGGGGTGGGGGTGGGTGTACATCTACTTGTATATCTAAACACTCTCTTGTCGTTCAGCTTTCACAGCAAACACCAGAGCACTCTGGCTTGCCTCTGTCTAGACTCTGTTTAGGAATTATTAATACTGCAATGAAAATCTCTAATTAATATATTGCTACCCTAAGTTTCTGCTTGTCACAACATTGTCGTTAGTTTCTGCAAATGGTCTATTCTGTGTAGCCTAGATTCTAACGTGGTAAAACTGCCTATTAATTTTTATCTTCTTTTCTTACAGTAAAAAATGGCATTTCAGAAGGCAGTGAAAGGAACTGCTCTCATTGGAGGAGGTGCCATAGCAACAGTTTTTGGCCTCTCTCAATTTTCTCAGTATAGAAACAAACACGTAAGTATTAATTATGATTTCTGATAAAATATGAAACTTAAAATCTGTTTGAGCGTATGTTCGGCTTATACGAATAGCTTTGTTTGGGAAGCAATGCCAAGAGCCTCTCAGCTTGATCTGGTGGGTGCTAATCTGGAGGATGGCATTAAACGATGTTTGACTGTTGTAGGTCTTTAACCAGTGGGGAAGTTGAGAGTCTTAAAAATCATTCTTCGTGTTTAAAAAATGACCTTTGTGTACTACTAGGGATTTTACTGATTTGGAGGAGGAGGAGTGGAAAGTACTGATTGAAGTATAAGCTCTCAGTAAAGTTTGGAGAGTACTTTCAAACTTAGAAGCGTGAAGCAGAACCAGTAGCGCTACCTCTGAGAACCTCAGCTTTGAAACAGCCACGGTGGCAGCTCTTGTTCAGTTCGACAAGCTGAAAACTGTTCTAGGATAGGATCTGTGCCAAAGAGGTTAATGGCGAGGCCCCTGTTGTTTCTGGTGAGCACTGGCTGCTCTCTGGTGGGCACGACCTAGACGCTGGTAAGCTCGAGGCACAGTTCAGTGCTGTCTTCCAGGTAGCTAAGGCACACGGGCAGAATAAACTCCCCGAGCTCTGAAGGGTGATGTTGGAGACTTACTGTTAAAGCAGTGGTAGCAGGCAGAGCTGCAGCAGGTTCCGATGTCAGTTTGTGGATTGATTCTTGCTGTTGTAGAAAATAGATTTCATTGGCATAGCGGCTCCTCACAGTAGAGTCGGAGCTGCTTGCTCTGACCTGCTTCTCGATGCAGAAGCCAAGGAGACATTGGTAAAAGGAAGATGCCTTGCGGACTGGTTTTAGGCAGAGCTGGTGTGGATCAACAACTACTCTTTGTCTTAAAGCAGATAAATGCCCATTATTTAATGCTGTGCTTTAGAGTTATAAAATAACCCTGTCTGGCCTTAGTAGATGTGTATAAGGGAACATGTTGTCTGATCTTGTGTTAAATGTGCACTGCGAGGCTGGCACCTCACATTTGGCCAAAAATATTTGCAATCGGTGTTTTGTAAACTGGTTGAAGTAGGTGTAGTCAGAGCTCTGGCCTGATTTGCTTCAGTCTGGGTTTGGAAAAAGCTTAAGCCCAAGGAGCCACCTCCTCCTTCCTCTGAGGTGGTGTCTGAGCAGCGAGGTGCGCAGGTGCTCACTTCGCATTTCGCCTTACAAATGTCATCAGTCAGCTCTTTACCCCGGCAAGCCGTTACTCTGGGAACTGCTTTAGTTACCACACATGTACTATAAGTTGCTATTCAAATTGAGCAAACTGAAAATAGGAACAGAAGAAACGGATCTTAATGGTCTAGTTGAAGGTAAAACAGTGGGTGATGGGAGACAGTCTTCGCTCAGCTCCGTGAAGGTGTGTATTATGTCTGAATACATGATAATCTGAATCTTCTGGCTGTTTCCATGGGGAGGAGGAGTAGCAGCTGAGGTACTGGTAAAGCAAATGAGATGAGTCATTTCTGGGGAACCTAGCTGGAAAGTGGATAAGCCAAGATCCTTATGGCTTCAGAAAAAATGTTGCAGAAAATAAAACCTAGCATTTAAAGTGAGCTTCCCATTGGGCTGCCTGTCTTGCACCTAGCTGGTAATACTGTTTCTAATTCTCTCTGGAGTCTTTATCGCAGGATTTTACAATCTGGCTTCATTACTGTCAGAAATGGCAGCTTCAAGTTTTAGGACTCTTAAATAGGAGAAGGATTTGGAAGTGAAAAGTGATCTGGGTAGCTTGCTTGTTGTAGATGCGGTATTCCAGAATTCGGGGAATTCCCATTTTTCTGGGAATGGACGGCCAATATGAATTTCCAGAGACAGATTAAAAACCAAAGTTTAACAGAAGATGATCGTGGTGTCAAAATGAAGTAACCACTTGGCCCCCAATTTCTAAACCTATTGTGTAGGATCAGTCTACAAAGGATCTGAAAATTTCCAGCATATGTGTAAGCAAATGGATCTGTCAAGTGAACAGCATGTTGTTTTCATGTTGTACTAACTTACACATTTCCCACGTGATGGCCCTTAAAGCTGCTGCCTTAAACACCTAATATAGGGCAGCAGGTGGAACATAACTGGGGGGATTGACACAAAGGAGGACAGTCCATTTGTTGTGTTGACATATCTAAGCTGTGGGCATGTCCCCCAGCCCAAGTGTCCTCTCTTTAATAATGCCTGCCAATCAAATATATGCTAGGGCAAAGATCTTGTCTTCCTCTGCCAGCGAAGGATATTGCCCCAAGATGTGCGCTAACTGGCTACACGTTGTAGGAAATCTGTTGTTATTTCGAGAACTGAATCCATCACACAGTAAGACAGAAATAAAACGCTCTTTTTTTTTTTTTTTTTTTTTTTTAACCCTCGTTCGTATTGCCGCACTCGGTGACTGGATGCCTGTGCTGTGGCTAGCATCCTGGAATTAGGGGCACCCAGTTACAGAATGAAGACCTCGGCTGGCTAATAATCCTGAACACACAATCTGGCTGATCTGTCTTTGTTTGTTTTCCATGTTCACTCAGCTGGTGTTCGATGTTTCTGTGAAACTTGGCTATCCCAGGTAATTCCAAGGGAGAAGGTGGAGGGTGGTGAACGCCAGGCCCTTGAGCGTGGGTGGGAGGTCATTTGGACTCCATGATCCTAAAGGTCCTTTCCACCCGCAACGATTCTACGATTTGTTAGTCAAGCATGCTAGCGAGTGGTTTGCCTACTAAAAGGGATGAGTATTGGCAATTTCTGATGTTGAAATTTCAGTTGTCCTTGCTAGGTTTGAGAGTCAAAGCCTGACTGTGAGGCGAACAGCACAGTTAGCCCGGTTAACCTTGGCTGTATGTAAACAGCTCTAAAGTGTTTACACCTTGGAAACAAAACACTCCCTTGGTTCAGATCTGTCCTGGTTTTTGAGATTTTTATCCCAATTTATTTTTCTATACACACACACACACACGTGTGCTGACATTTTGGAGCGCGTTTCTGTAACGGCAATTGTGGCAATATAATCTGAGAATAAATATCTGTGTGTGGCATATGCAGGCGTACAAGCAGTTTGGTAAATTGC